TAAACAGAAGGGGCACATGGCTTGTTTGGAGAGTAATTATATAAATAAGATCCCGAGGTACTTACACTGCAGCAAAGACCCTTATTATGTGTTTAATATATGTGAAGAAGCTTCACAATGGAATATAAATAAATACTATTTATCAGAAGTGTGATTGGAAGGTAGAAATAGGACTGGGGATACAGTGTTGTTGTAATGATGGACAACCTGAAATCTTGACATGACTTATTCAATAAAGAGCGAATCGTGGGGAAATGAAAGTGAATTCAAATTTTAGACCACAGTAGCCGAAAACAAAAACGATTTGTTGATTATTTATTTCCCCAGTTCGGTTATCTTGATTTAAAATTTCAAATGTACTCATTGAAATATTGACAAATCACAGTTTAGTGAATATTTCTATGGCGTGCATTGATGGCATTGGAAACATACCTACAGCAGGTATATTGTGGCTGAAAGTGGTCACAGGGTGTCATCGTTGTGCTGTAATTGTGGTTTATCAATCAGGTCTTTTTTTACATTAAGCATTGATCATATACAATATTGGGGTTTACAATGTGAACTGACAGACAACTGTAGTTTAGTTTTATAGATTGTTTCCTGTCCTTTGTATTGGAAGGCCTCATCCCCCACACAGTGTGGATTAAGGATGAGCATTCTGTATTGGAATTGTTCACACCTGCACTCCATAACCATTACACAATGCACAACTCTCAATATACCCAGCAATATTTCCAGCCCCTTGACCTCTCTGAACCCTGGATTACCCATTACAAAATCACAAAACGTGCAGGACACATACAGGGGCATGCTTAACCCGTTAATGACCAGGTGTTACATCATAACATTTCTGACATGTTGTTGGACCTAAAAGGGTTAAAGATCAGCACTGAGACAAAGTTCTAAAAGTGGACCAATCACCATGGAAACTACGAGAATGTCAATGCTGATTACTTTTAGAAGTTTAGCACAGAATGTTTATGTATACTACCACCATGCAGAGTGAGGGGCAGGGACAAGTAACTGGGCAGTGCTCAGCCTTAGTCCTTATCAGTAACGTCTTTACAGTAATCACAGCACGGGTCACCTCTGTCTCTGAGTGCAGTACGGGCTTTGTCACATGTTGCAGGGGTTCCCTGTACACTGCAGCCACTGAATGCACCGATAACTAACCTTAACGCCGTACAGTTAACCTTATTCTCCGTTATTATCCAGAAAGAAAAAAAACATTCGGCTCTCTGGGCACTTTGGGAAGTAGGACGTTCTTGCATAAAAACATTTGTCACTGTGTAACCACTTACAGTCCGTGTATCAAATACAGGTATCCATCATTAGCCCCAAGTGCTTTTTGGACATTTCCCAAGTATTCCTAACAACAGGAGGGCCAGATTCGGACACCCAAAAGACAGTTGTAAATATAAACAGACGATGATAATAAAATGCTTTATATTTTCATTAAACCTCCTTGTCTGAATAAATAAATATGTCAGTTTACACATTTACAAACATCATGTCACAAACATGTACACACATTACTATATGTAGTGTGTGTGTGTGTGTGTGTGCGCGCATGGATGTGGCATGATGTTTGTATATGTGTAAATTGCTTTTACACATCATATTTAACCTGTTTCTTCATTTGATGCTACTAGTCTAGAAAGGATAGTTTCTATTCCTAAAATAATCCTTCTATTCTTCAGAAATATTTTGTATCAAATCAGTATCACGCACAGAGGGATAAGTGTCTCTTCTATTCTGTAACCCCTGTCTAATTGCATTCCCTAAATGGAGCCCAATTCACAGGGCGTCGCTGTGTGCTTCCTGTAAATATATAATCCCAGAAATGAAACCTCGTTCTAATTGCCATTTGACATGCTGTTTGGGTAAGGCTGTGCTAGAGCAAGCCCAGATTTTCTTGTGATAGAACCATTTATCATGGTGATTGCTACAGAGTGGCAGGTGGTGTTATCAATTACCTCTATTTCCAATAATAATATTAGTATGTTAATATCTGGGATCAACTAAGAGAAGATTAGGGCGACAGTTGTTAGAGCTAGAATGGGATGCTTTATTTGATCTGATCACAAGTCTAAAAATCTGCCTTAAAATTCTAAAACTCTAAAAGTAATAATAATTATTATTATTATATGAACTATTTGTAGAATAATTTGCAGGCACCTTTTTTGATGCTTCAGTTAACGAAATAAAGGTGAAAAATTGCAAACAGGAACAGATTCAAAATCTATTTCTTTTTGACAATTTAATCATCTGAAATAGACTTTATAGATTATCTAAATAAATGACACGTATTAAAGCAAATACGTAATTATACGTTCAACTAATGTAAAAAATACAGTAGCAATTTGCAAATAATATTATCAGGCAGCCAAAATAATAACGTGTCTCTCTTTACAAACAACAATGCGAGGGAAAGATAATGGACAAATTAGATGTAATTACAGGGCAGAAAATGGAACTTTCTTTCAACAAAAACTATCTAGGTATTTAGAACTAAGCAGACACTTGATGAGTGATGTGTGTATGAATGTGTTATGAGTAGAATCGGATGAGTGTCTAGGTAGACAGGTATTCATATGCAAATAACAAGTGTGTTTATTACAATTCCTATATGTAATGTAATTGTAATATGATATATATATATTTATATGTATGTGTAATAATTTTGATACAAAGTATAAATATATATTACATGAAGAATTTGTAATTTATTTAATACTTGAAATTTGGGTAATATAGTATTTTTACAATACTGAAGTTGTTTGGCTAACTTAGATTCCACCCTAACCATGTTTAATATCGGACTAGATGCTTGTCTCACTCATTTCTGCTGAGTATACATTAAATTGTGACCTTTTTTTAATTGATCCCTTACATGTAAGTCAATTAAAAAACGTTCAGCGCATGATTTGCTCCTCACAGCATTAACCCCTAAACACTCCCCTGTGTTGCGTGAAGAAGGTGCTGCTTGCAAAGCAGTGTCTGATGTGAGATGCATAATATGCAGATATCCTCAGAGAGAGAGATTGGAGTTTAAACAGCCTCTGTACACAGCACTCACAAAGATGCCACCACTAAATTGATATTGCAAAGAGATCAAGGCTGTGCAAATCTTCCTTTGCTGTTTATTTTTCCTCCTTTCCTTTCAGTACTTTTGTTATAATTTTACGAAAAATTAAACAATCCAATATTTATATATCTGTTTAAATGTTGTACATACTAAAATATACTTACAAATCTATCGAAGAATAAAACAAAAATGTATGTGATTCTCGGCTTAAATAAATCATAGAAAAATATCTAGATCTAAAAATGTGATATTGCTGCAAATAAGCTATTATTATCATATGAAAGAAATGGAGATCTGAATCATTTTCAATAATGTGGCAATATTCAATGATTGTGTGAATTAAAATTCTTTATATCAAAATTTCTTTTTTTTTTTTTTTTTTTTGCACTGTGGGAAAATGGATGTAGAGCAGATTATGGTTTAGGAACATGGGTTAATTAAGTAAAGGTACTTGACCTTAACACGGTAGTAAAAGTTTAAATTCCCCCCTCTCCATCTACATTCATCACCGTGAATGAGAAGCCTTTAGAGACTGATCTTTTTATTAAAACACACACACACACAAAAAAAAAATCCCAAAGATTAATGTTGGCAATGCGAATAAAGCGATCAAATATATCCGAACGATTAATAAGAATGACACATCATGAATAATTGAGAGAGACATTAACCACAGCTCTTAATAAGAGGGAATGTGCCAGGCGTGTTTAGGGTGTGAAGTGGGGTTATTGTAATTTAGACAAAACGGTTTTAAAAAGTAAACAGACTCTAATTCTTTGATAGGAGTGAACAAATCCTTGTAAAACAAAGCATGCTCCCCTGTAATGTGCAGCCAGGGGTGACATGCACAGACAGTGACAGCACTCACTGCTTTGGGGACAGGACTGGGATACTAACAAGCCATGCTATGAGATACATCACTCTTTGGGAAATGGACGACAAAGTTACCACAGAAAGTTTACACTAGAAAATATTATAAGTGTTTGCAACAGTAACTCTAACTCCATATTGCAGTTAAAAGGATCTGCAGCTGAAACTACCTTAAAGTGTACCCAGCAGTGCAGTGAGGTACAGTGCAGAGTGTAATGTTGGCAGTGAGGTACAGTGCAGAGTGTACTGTCGGCAGTGAGGTGCAGCGTTAGTCACTGTGCTTGGGATAAACTGGGTGTGTGTAATATCATAGTGGTCGCAGCTTGCGATGGGGATCGCGTATTTGCTTTGCACAGGATCTTTGTGTGTCCCTCTCTCCTGCTGCTCTCACTGTCCCTGAGCCCAGACGCCCCCCACCAGGACCAGTCTGGTTCCCTGAGCCCAGACCCCCACCTAAAAGACAAGCATGGTTCCTTAAACCCAGATCCCCGCCCCCTTACAGACCAGTCTAGTTCCCTTGAGCCCAGACACCTTGTGTTTCTCTGAACCTAAAAGGAACTGTATACTGCAAAGTTCAGACCTACTTGTTTTCCCTCAGCCAGGACCCCCTGGTGTGTTCCTGAAACCAGACCCCCTTGTTTATTCTCCCAGCCCAAACAGCCCTGTTGTTACCCTGAGCCCATGGCTCGGACACACTGTGAGAGAGCACCAAGGATGGAGGTAGGTGTATGTATAGGATGGAAGTACCCTCCTCCAGGTGTCAGGTAGCTCTCGATATGAGCCTATCAGATCGGTGTCAGACACAGCTACCTAATGTCTGCAGGCTGGTCCCACATGGTCCATGTTACTAGCTGGGAAATCCTCTAACACCCACTCTCAATAGCCAACATACGCCTCTGATGTCTGCCTGATAGAGAAAGGAGGGTAATTCACTTTTTTTTTTAACCTGGCTTCCCTCCCATCTACTCCACCACCCACAGCATAAGCCATCAGGGCCCACCCCCTCCCATGCTAAGGAAGAGAGAGCAGTGTAAGAGGGAAACGTGCTGCTCCTGCTGCTGAGAGAGAGGGTCCACACAGCTGCCGGAGAGACAGAGAGAGAGGGGCTCAGGTCACAGGATCACGGTGCGGGACCTGCTTGTCTCTGACAGGAGAAGAGGTGACGCTATGCGACAAGTGACAAGACAGCATCAAAAACACCAGGAGCTCAGCGTCCCCTCTGCCAGGGGCACATCATCCTAATTCACTTACAAGTTCATCTTCACAAACAGGGGAGAAACACAGAGAACAGGCAGTGGCCTCTCCTGCCTGCCCGGGCAAAGGCAAGCACTACTCCTGGAGAACTCCTAAAAGAACACAGAGCAGGCACACAAACATTCTATAAACAGTAAACAAAACAGCAACAGCAGCAATGGACTCAATTTGGAACGTTGAGGAGTTTATATAATTTCCAGACTGAAATTGATTCTAAACGTCACTATTTTACATCCTAGTAGTGCATAGATCAAACACTCACCTACCAAAACAAAGAATTAAACTTTGCTCCCCAATCTTATGGGTCGATGGGTGAACGAATTTGATCATATTTACAGTGTGGGAGCCTGGGTGAGAAGATAACTCCAGAAGGTCTTGCTGACCATGGACTACAGGAAGTGAGCTCCAAGGAGATCAGGCCACAAAAACAACACACACACACTGACACACAGACAAGTGAAAAGAATCAGTATACAAGCTCGTGTGCGGAGGGAAAAGGAGAAAATAACTGTAATCAAGTGAAAGAAAAAGAGAAGGGGGCGGGGAGCAAGTTAAAGGAACACAATCCCTGGGCTACAGGAGATGGGACTATAGCAACAAAGTTTCTGTTCACTAAAGAGAGTCCTCATCATAATTGGAAGGCTGAATACCAACAACCCCAAAACAAAAACCACACAAAGGACACCAAGGGTCACCAGAGCAGATCCCAGAAATCAGGAAGGTTGGGGGGGGGCGGAGTGTGCCAGAGTAACATAAATAAAAATAACCCAAGTAACAAGCTAAGATAACAAAAGCTCAGCGCAGGCAGGGAGGAGGAAAAGGGGAGGCAGAGCAAGTATGTGACCTTCCCCAAAAAGTGGTGCTCCATGTGTGTGAGCCCAGAAGAAGTGTAGCCCGGGCAGAGGGCTGCTGAGCTGTGCTGCATGGTGCAGGGGAGACACATCATTTGGTGGAGGAGTGGAGGCGGCTAATTGCCTGAGCCCATCCCTCATTTCCATATGCAGTCTGTGTCCGCTGGCCCCGAGCCAATCCCCTCTCACCCCCGCCGCTAATCGCCATGCATTATTCACCATCACAATTACACAGCGACATGCGCAACCGGCGCTGCACCGACACCAGCTAATTTCCGTCATTTTGCAACTCGACTATTTGTGAACAATTTTTTTTTTTTTTATTTGCCACTGATGTATCTGCAAAAAAGCAGAAACGAGTCCCAGTTCCCAGCAGCAGCAGCATGTCTCGGCGAAAGCAAGCCAAGCCTCAGCATCTGAAATCAGAAGAGGACATCGGGACAGAGGTGCTCCCTTCAAACGGTAAGGGGAGGGAGGGGGCACTGCTGCCATACACCTAGCTCCTACTATCCTATTATTTACTAATATCCTTTACCACTAGCCACCAGGCACTGCCAGCACTCACACACCCTTACACGTACCCCCAGCACACTGCCAGCTCTCAACTTGGAAACACAGAGCCAGGAGACCAAAGGGGGCATTTTACATCATATTAAATATTTTAGAACTAAACACAGGAGAGGTAGTTAGTACATACAGTCCCAAGCACTTTTTTTATATATATATAACTTGTAAATACACAAGTTGTAAATAGTCATACTCTAGTGTTTGAACATTATAATTATTATTTTTTATTATTTTATGATTTGTATTATTTTTTTTGTTTGTATCCTGTCTTGGAGTGCATTGATGGGGTTGTGTTAAATTGGGTTGAGTTCTACCAGTACTTGGGAAGTGTGACCATAGTTTGCACCTGCAACAGACAAAAGGCTCCCGCACAGAGATCCAGTGTAAGTTAGTTGTGTAAAGTGTTGCAGCCTGTGCCTGGTGCTGGGGAGGTGACATGGGGTGTGTAGGGCTTGTGTGTTAGTGGCAGGGGGTAGGTGTACTCAATAGGTACATGGTGACCCCTGCTTGCTAGATAGCTGGGGTTAGAAGAAAGGAAGGGGCAGAAGATAGTTGCAGTGATCAGCAGGAGCCTGTGTCCGTCCCTGTACAGTGTGGACCTCAGCTGCAAGGACTAGGGGGAATAGGAGAGGGAGGAGGAGGAGGGGGCTTCACTGATCTTGTTTTGGGGATGGAGAAAGATCGAGACTTGTGAGAGGCATTCCGGAAACACGGTGCACTCTCCTGTGTGAGACAGACCAGCCAACACCGAGAGAGAGAGACAGCTCCAATGTCTTCCCCTGCTCTCTCTGCCAGGGAGCTGCTCCAAGGTTCATCCAAAGGTGAGGGCATCCCGTATCCGCCTGTCTGAGTTTAGGGTGACCGAGTGGGGTTTGTTTTGGAAGCCGCCTTGCGGTGTGTGGTAAAAGCTTGGGGTTAGGGGAGGTGGGACATTGCATGCTATGCAGGTTCATCCAGATCCTTCCCTTCTCATTACCAGCTTCCACCATCCGAACCCCATTATTTCATTGGATTTTAACACTTTTAATTTATTTTTTTCCATAGTTTACTTCTTTTGCTATTTCCTTCGCGTGTCCCATCTCCAGGCTATCACACTATAACCAACTTTAAACGTCCCTTTGCAGCCAAACCAATAACTTCTTTAAAATTTAAAAAATGTTTTTTAAATAAATATTTATCTATCTACACATATATCTATATACACACGCACACAAATTTTATTCAAAATATATGTTCGTTTCTCCCCTACATTTTAATATATTCTCCCCTATTAAGGACTTTTTTTTACACAAGGATGGGGCTGATGAACACCCTCAGCCTAGCTAGCTCCTAGTCCCCCCTTCCTGGATGCAGCACACAGTTCATGGTTTGGATACTTTGTAGGCAGTGAGGCTGACCCCCCTTGTGTTGTACAAAATAACATGCCACACAGCAGTAGAGCAGCTTTCCCCTAATAAAGTGTCCAAATCATGCCTTTGTCATTTAATTGTGGGGTGTTATGGAAGTGAGGCCTTGGTGCGTGTCCTTTGAAGCTGCAGATCCCAGATGCTTTTCCTTTCTTCCATTAACAGACAGAGACATGCCATTGTCAGAGGCTTCAGAAGAGTTTCCTGGATTTGTTGAAGAAAGTATATCTTGCAAGCTGGTTTATGGTGGTTAAGAGTGAACCTTATCTATGTAGCGGTGTCTCCAGAGATTAGGACAGGAGATATTCCAAAAAGAAACCCTTGCATATGGTGTGTAGATTAAGAGCAGAAGATCTTTTTGTCATGGAAATGTTTTTTTGTTTACTTCATCACTTAGCATTTCTCACACTTGGCTTGTTTTGTATTGCACTCAATGACTACATGATCAAATGAATGGGTTGATTTCTGCAAAATGAGAAAGACAGCCTTTCCATCAAAAGGGCTACATTGCATCTCTCTGAGGATTTTTAAAGCCTGATTATTGTGGGCTGTGAATGGCTTTAAATCGCCTTTCTCAGTAGCCTCAAAATGAAACAATATAAACAATTCTAAAAAATGTTTAATTGTCTTCTTTGCATAACCATATTTCAATAACTAAAGTGAAAAGAAAAACTATGGCAATCCCTGCTTTTTCATTTAAAACTTTATTCATGTGTGAGATTACTAGGAAACTTCGCATGCCATACACTGTGCTGCATTGCAATCTAATGATACTTTGCAAATTGTGTACAGCAGTTTTATATTGTGTCCTAGCTCGGTAACCCAGCATTGAAAAGGAATGCACATTTGGGTTCATGAAAAGGGATATGAAGTATTTTATTATGTGATTCAGAGCATTTCTATAGTATTTTTTGTTTGCAGTTAAGATTGTAATATATATATTGCTTATAGTTACTTATAGGTTTTTTTCAGCAAAAGCAAGTATTTATTTGTTTTACCCAGATCCATATGTTGTAGAAACGTCTGCTCTTATAAAAAAAAAAAAAAACGTTTTAAATATTATATTAATGTATGTATTTAGAGCATATATAAAATATTTAAAATTAATATGTGCTTTAAAATGCTTGCTAGTACTAAGTAGGTTTACCATTTTTTAATGCAGATAAACACATAAACATCTTTTGCTCTCAGCTAATTTGGTATCACCTAAAGATCTAATTTAGACATTGAAAAGAATGTCATTAAGCCTGAGTTTACGGTAAAAAAATTATATTTACAAAACATATATTAAAAAAACTATTTAAAGGGTCTGAGAATGTTTCCCAGGGATTTTTTTCTTTCCCTAAAACAGTAGTTTAAATTGTAATTTGAGCAAACGATTAGCTTTATTTTTAGTGTATTCTATTGAATACAAATATGTAATAATCTTTTTTCTTTTTTAATCAAATTATTTATATCACAATTCTCTTTTGATAAAATAATGCAACTGTTTATTTATATATTTAAATACAATTAGTTTAAAGTTTGGCAAAGGCAATATTTATAATAACTGTGAACCTTAAATGATATGAATTAAACAACATATTTTTTAGATATCTATCTATCTATCTATCTATCCATCCATCCATCCATCCATCCATCCATCCAAAGCACTGCCATAGTTAGCAGTTTATTTTTTATGCATATATATATTTTAATAGGTAACTGTTATAGTATAGCAATGACTCTTGATTTCAAACAGAAGCAGTGACTGATACACTTTTAAGACTGACACTAATATATATTATTATGTATTAATATTTTGTGTGAGGTTAATGCATATGAGTCTCAATTTGAATTTAAATATATTTACATTACAGCTAGATATAATTTAACGAAGCTTTCACAAATAAATGTTTTTACAAATAAATGCTAGTGATTACACAGATCTGATTATTAGAGGTTTAATATTTTTTTTAATGAACATATGTGTATACATATATATATTCACATGATATATATGTGTGTGTGTGTATATCTATCTATCTATCTATCTATCTATCTATCTATCTGTCTATCAATCTTTCTATTTATGTATGTATAAGCATGCTTTTAGCTATATATGTAATACACTTTATTAACATAATAGCAAATACACATAAATTGAAACGTACACATGAATTGAAAGTCTAGCAAAAGTGGAAAAGTGGGTCAGGTTTCCTTGTTGTGTTGAGCTAATCCTAGTAAAGTCTTTCTATTGATCTTAAGGTGACCAGAGCGATACCACTCTTCCTTCCAATTGACGTTCAGTTATATGTGTAAAGTGTAACCCCTTTGCACATATAAACACTGTTTATCCAAACTGAAATATTCAATATAAGGGCCAATATGTTAAGTTAAATCAAACCTAAGTTTAGCCAAATAAATAATAATAAAAAGAATTAAGGGAAAATATCTACTAATTTATATATGCACGCATGTGTACATATATATTTTACTATACAAAAATAAAGAACACAAATAATTTCCTACAAAACATCCTGTTTTATTGAAAATAAAAATAGAAAAGAATGATGATTAAACAGATATTTTTTATCCAGCGTTGACAACCGTAACTGGAAATATTTGACTTGTGGCATATATTTTCAGTATTGCATGCGTACAATGAATCTGCTCTATTTAAATTGTTTAAAGATAGGCTATTAGTGTCCTATTTCAAGGCATTAATACCCAGTACTCACTAGAGATTCATTTTGTTTGGTGACACTGAAAAGGTGGTACTGCTTGAAGTGCCAACAGGTTTCCAATGGTCTGTCCCTGAGGGTGGGTGTTTAGAAGTGCTTTGACAAGGCTGGCTGATTTAACCTTTGCCTGTTTTGCCCTGCCAAGGGTGGCCACTAGATGTCA